AGTCCAGGCTCCCTGCCTCCCACTGCACCCCAACCCCAGAACTCCAGACGCAGCCTGGGGGCCTCAAACCACTTGATGTGATTCTGCTGGGCCCCAGCACTGAACCCTCTGCCCAGTTTTTCCCAGAGTCGTCCTTAAGCATTCTGTGGAGGCTTTAAAAAAAAAAAAACAATATTTAAAAAGCAGGGGCCAGAGCAATCGGACACTGGTCTGGGTGCTTGCATGGGGCTGACCTGGGTTTGGTTCTGGCATCCCATATGGTCTCTCAAACCTGCCAGGAGTAATCGCTGAGCATAGAGCCAGGAATATGTCCTGAACATCGCCAGTGTGGCTGCTCCCCCCGCCCCCAAAGAGTTAAAAAGAAAGTCAATATCTCACAGGGTTAAGTGCCCTTGTTTGATCTCGAGCATGAGCTTGAAATGGGTCATTCTTGCAGATCCTGTCCCTCAGGCCTTGCCAGCATGTGTGTGCTCATCGTCATCAATTCCACATGGCCGTGGGCCCCAGGGTCTCTGCGTGAGGCCCTGTGCTAGGGTGCAGACAGACACCCGCCCCCATCACTCACACCCACATCCCTGGGCATTGAGACTTGTCGCCAGGATCAGTTGCAGGGAAAGGCTGGACGTGCTGAGAACTCTCACAGGCCAACCTCATCTCACCATCCAGATGGGAGGACGGATCAGAGACGCCAGCCCCTCTGGGGTGAGGGAAGGGCTTCAGGCAATAGCAGGCACTGGTGGGGCACCCCGGGCACAGAACCTTGGAACCCTCCTGGCACAAGCCCTTTCTTGGCTGTTTCTTCTTCTCCAACCATGTGGCTCCCTGTCCAATCAGCAAAGCCTTCTCCAGGCCTGCACCCTATGGAAAGGCAGACCCCGCACAACGGGACAGACAGGCCATGATGCAGTGGACTCCAGCTTGGGGGGCTGTACCAGTGGTGCTCTGGGATCACTCTTCCCAGGGGCAGCAGTCTGGAAGGCAAGGGTCTTCACTCCTGGACTGTCTCTGCGAGCCGGATCTGAGACTGTCCCTCAGACCTGGGCTCCAAGGCAGTGTGGTAAGGGAGGGGCTTGGGCGCAGGGATTGGAGCTCCCTTGGAACTTAGGTCTTGTACGTGGAAACTGAATTCTAGTTATTCTGTGACGGATCACGCTCTCAAATTTGTTGTTGTCTAGAAAATTCTGCTTTGGCCAGCGCCACTGGCCGTAGGAGCAACAGGAGTCACATTTGGTCTAAGTCACCCAGATTGATCTAGTCAGATACAGTCTGTTTCGGAGTGAAGGTTAGATCTCAGAGAATCATCCAACATGTAATTGAATACACTTGACTCTAGCAAACCTGGGGAATGACTGGGTCGGCAGACCCCTCTTTTCTTTATCAGGAACCAACGCTTCGGAAGGTTCTGCCCAGGAAATGAATTGCATTGCTCATTTCCATATACTTGATGGCAGCCCAGGAAACAGGCTGCTAAGACTGGGGTGCAGGTGGGTCCAGCACACTCCAGGCCCCCGGGGAGTCTCTGGGAAATACTAGAAAGACCCAGGACGAAGGTTTGCCCCCGGCCCCTGTTCAGTCCAAGCACAATGCAGAAACCCCAGAATCTGAGGCTGCTCTTTCTACAGAGAGCCCATCCGGGGGAACACAGACCTGGGGTGTCCCTGCACCCGACAGGCCCCTTCCCAGCACCTGGCTGTGGTCTCTGCGAGCACCCCAGATGGGGCCGGAACACTTTCACCACTCAGGGGCAGACACAAGTGGCTTGGCGGCCCAGGTAGAGGCGTGCAGCCCACTGCCGGGCCAGGACTTGGACCCAGATATAGCCCAGCCCCCAGCTCTCCACTCCAACCTGGCTGGGGGTGGGCGGGGTGGCGTCTCTCTCTCACCCCACAGAGAAGCAGCTCGGTCTCGTCTCAAAGCAGCTGCCCGTGGCGGGCCAGGAGTACCCCACTTCTCACCACCCCTCGTGCATGCGGCTTGCTGACTCGGGGAGGGATGGTATCTCAGACTGGGCTCCTGATCACCCCATGCTCAGTGCTCAGTGTTCTGTGCAGTGATGTCACCATGCATGTTCAGCACTCGCAGTGCCCCTTGGAGCCAGCATGGATGGCACCCAGATCAGGGTGCCCCCACCCCTTGCAGTTCGTCGGGTGTCTTGGGATCTTGGCAGGAGGCAGCATCACACCTTATGTTCCCCTAGTTCTTTCCCAGAGTGGGGTGCTCTCAGGGCTGCCTGTGTCGGGGGAAGCGATTAAGGTAGTGGAGACGTGTGGGCATGTTCATGAGGAATGACTCACGCCCATCCTCTCCTCTCTTCGGCTCTACTGTAGTCAGCAGCAGGTGCCTCTGGGCTGTGATCAAGCAGTTTACTTTTCAAAATTCGTAAGTTGGGTCAACACCAAAGAAGAAACACTCCTGCCCCAGACGGCCACCCCAGCAGTGCCCATGGCGGCCTGGGTGGTTGACCAACACCACCAGGCCCACAGTGTAGACTCCTGGGTGGGGGGAGGCCGGGCAGGGCCATTCAGATAGTCTGGGATGGCACGTTCCTTGGGCCCCGAGTCCCACCAGATAACATGAGCAGCTGCTTCACCCTCACCCACAGTGTAGGGGCCACACAGTGTGAAGGAACCTGCTTCTTCCAACCCGCAGAATCAGCTGCCCAGCACAAACCCCCAGCGCTGCACTGCCCTCCAGCCCTACCAGGACATGTATGAAAGCTGCTGGGTTCAGAGTCTCACTGAGACACTCTAGAAGGTTCTACAGAAGAAGCGTCCAGCTCAGCGAGTGCTGAGAAAGGCTCCAGCTCCCCCTCTGTGGCTCTGTGCCTCACCAAACCCAGTACCAGGGTGCTGGAGGCTCTGGGGCCGTGGCTCCTTACTGCCATGTCTGGCCCTTGGACCACATCATGCTGACAAGAATCCCCGTGTGACAGACGTGACTGCTCCCAGTTCGATGCCTGTCATTAAAACGGATGTGTCAGCCTGCAGCAGCGGTGTACACACCTGTGTGGGGCCCTGCCCTGTGCCCGCCACTGGCATTCACTCCGGGCGAGCTGGCACTGTCCAAAGGAAACAGCTTTGAGTCAGCGTCTGAGGTTTTTCCAAAGGTTCTTTTTCTCAGGAACTTTGCAAAAACTCAACTTTTAGGTCTTTAACCAGTGACCTCCCTTGCCTTTCGTTAGCTCTGGGCTCTGGGTCCACGGCACTGACAGCAGCTGTCCTCGGCTTCCCTCATAGGAGGGAGCCAGCCATGGGGGACACAGCCTGCACTCTCCAGCCTCCAAAACTGCCTCTCCCCACACACACCCTGTTCCCCCAAGTCTGAAAGTGGAGAAACATCTGGGTGGTCACAGGGTTGGCTTTGTTCAAAACCTCTGCCTCCTGCTTAATGTTGGGGGACACGTAGCCCCTAGGGGTCAGAACCCACAGCCCATAAAGCAAGGTTCTAGACAATTTAAGTTTTGTTTTGGTTTGGGGGCCACACCCAGTGATGCTCAGGGCTTATCCTGGCTCGGCACTCAGGAATTAATCCTGGCAAGGCTCGCAGGGACCAGATGGGATGCTGGGGATGGAACCCGGGTCTACTGTGTGCAAGACAAACACCCTCCCCTCTGGCCCCAATTTGAAGTTTCTAAAGAAGAAAGAGTAAAGGAAACAGAACCTAAATGGGAATCATAAAAGTGAGAACAGTGTAAGGAATTTTGAGCATTTTAATAAATATATACCAAGAAAACCTCACTTTATTACAACACGTCCTTATACAAGCATCTATCGGCTAAGCTTTCAACATCAAATGTCTATCAAATATTGAAAATAAAGAACAAAACATTGCTAGACTATTTAGCCAGAGCACAAGAACACTTTTAAAACTGGTCCTTGTGGGTCCTGCCCCATGGACGCTCCCCGCAAACACTGCAGGAGAGGGGCCCTGGTTTCATAGGAATGACAACAATGTAAAAAAGCTTTATCTTGGAGAAACTGGGAGGAGTTTCTTGCTTCCTCCATTTGGCATTTGGTTCCTGTGATGCATGGATCAAGAAGGTCCAAAGGTCCCTAACCTCAGAGCTGGGCTAGTCTCCAGTGCCAGCCCACGTTGCCAGAGGGAAGCTGAGACCGCTAGCAAACACATCCTAAAAGAAACAGCTTGGGAAGATGCAGACCCCAGGGAGGGCAGTGGCTGCACATGGCGCCCCGCGCCTCCAGAAGACTGCCCCACCCCGGCAGTGTCTCCAATCTGTAAGAGAAAGCCTACAGGCCCACGCGCTCTTGTCAGTGCTGTGCTTCTTTGCCAACAATGTAAGTCATCGATCAGAAACAAAACAAAACAAAAACCACATGCCTTTATCACCTAAACGCGTGAAATGATGCAAAACAGGTCAAAGCAGAGCACATGCCACTGGTTGGGAACTCTGTGGACAAGAAACAAAGGAAATGAGACAGCCATCCCGGGTCCCAGGGCCCACGGGCCAGTCCGGCCCTCTCCCTTCTCTCCTCCATTCCTTGCAAACATGCCAAATCCGAAAGCAATCGGACATCGAAAAAAAGGAAGAACAGAGATGGTGAACCAAAACTGAGCACGAGAGTGCAAAGCCAGTGGCTCCCAGACGGCTGCACTGAGGGGCTGGGTTTGTGTCTTTCCCGTTAGTGAAATCCCTGCTGTAACTGACTATCCTTGACTTTCACAATGGCAAAATTAAGATAAAGTAAGGCACCAAAGATCGCGCTGTGTCGACCTCTCCAAAAGCTCGCCATCCATCATAGGCTGGCCAGGGTGACCAGGGCTGCCCTGGACACCGGGCAGCGTCTGTTCTGTCCTCAATCACCTGTCATCTGGACTGTCCATGCTAACATGCAATGGCCCCCGGAAGTCCAAGATGTCAAGTGCCTGCTTCACTCTGACTCAGAAGGGGCTGGACCAGCCAGGGCAGCAGACCCCTGTGGGCAGCGCCCAATCTTCATCTGGAGCCAGTGGACACGCTGGGGTCCTGGGCTAGTGGCTGGCTGCATGGGGGTCCTGGAAACTGCACAAGGGTACCTTGTCCCCTGGGCCACTTGGCTGACCTCTCTTGACAGAAGACCAAGGTCCACTTGCCGGCCGCTTCCTGTGGGTAAAGGCCCACCCGGAGAAGCTGCTCTGGACGCAGCCCATCTCAGGCTCACAGCACAACCACCTCGTCGTACAAAACTAGAAAGTCCATTGACATAACATCGATGAGTGCGAAGGGGTCATGCTGCACATGCTTCCATGTCCTGGGACGCGTGCTTCACATCCTGCTGCCCGCGCTCCAGCACGGCCTGCTGGCGACAGGCGCCACCTCCTTCCTGCGCTGTGGCTTCCTCCAGGGCCCACTTGCTGCTGGGCTCCTACCACTGCAGCCAGCCTCAAAGTAGTCGCAGAACTGCCCTCTGCACTCAAAAGCCAGGTGGTCCCGTGCAGCCTCCAGGCTGTGGGGGCACCCGTCCCCACTGCTGGCACTGATGGTGTTGCTGGTCTTGAGCTTTTCCGGAGCCCTGAGAGACCAGGCACCGGTGGCAAAAACATCGCTCGTGGGCATCTGCACATCCTCACTGCAGAGCTGCACGGTCCCCCCTCCCAAGTCTGCCTGCTGGGAGCAGCTGGGGAAGGGCAGAGGGGGCGAAGGGGAAGGCGAGGAGGATGGGGAGGGTGGGCAGGACAAGGAGGACGAGGAGGACAGGGAGGGCGAGGAGGACAGGGAGGAGGGGGAGGAGGGGGAGGGCGGAGAGGGCGGGGAGGGTGGGCAGGAGGAAGAGGAGGAGGAGGCACTTGCAGTGTGAGTGTTCACACACAGGGGCACACTCAGGCAGTGGCTGCCGCATTCCTGGTACAGGCAGCAGGCATGGACCTTGTCCCACTCCTCCTCGGACACCCGCATCCGCTTCCGATGAGGACAGTCCTGTGTCAGAAGCCAGTCCTGGGCAGAGGCACTGCTGAAGGAGCAGGCAGGGAAGCACCAGGCATTCTGCCTCATGATGTCCCCATGGACCCTCTTCATCAGGTTGTTGATGAGTACGGACCGCCGGAGGTACACCTCAGGGTCATCGATGAACCTGAGCTTCTCCAAGGACATGTACAGGATGTGGGCACGCTCCTCCAACACAGAGATGGTCTGCAAACAAGATGGGGAGCAACAGGGAATGCGTGGCAGCACCCATGGTCTGGAGCCCAAAGCCCAGAGCCAGGGCCCAGAATCCACGGCCGAGAGCCCAGAGCTCATGGCCTGGAACCCACAGCCCAGCACCCACAGCCCAGCATGGCCTCTTGGGATGGCTTCTGGTCCTGGGCTGAGAGGCTCGGACACCCCAGCCCAGAGCCGTGTGGTCAGTGGCACACAGGACACGCCCCGATGACATCCTTCCCATACGGGGGTCAAGGACTCCTGGCTCTGCCAGGAGTTCTGCGAGTGAGAAATAACTCAAGGCCCAAGAAAGTGACAAGAACTACTATGGCTCCACGGAGAAGCGGTTCATTTTCACTGCTGGGGAGGAAACCAGGGTTTCTGGGAATGCAGAGAGCAACTGCTACCAAGTATCTGAAGCTCTCAGTGGAACATGATGGCTACTGGGAAAACCTACTTGATGGCTGCAGCGGCTGAGCGGCGGGGGGCACTCCTCCTCTTCCACAAACTTCCTCTTAAAGTACGTGATCTTGGATGCTGTCAGAGGAGCTGAAATTCCTCGGTAGTGGGGTTCTGCGAGAAGAAACAAGATGGCAAGTGACATGCGGTTCGCTAGAGGTTCTTCAAACACAAAGACTAGCTCCGTCTCGAAGAGAACTCGACTATGCTCTCGTTTGTGTGTGTGGCAGCTGAAAATAAACCTTCATCTCAAGAGCTGCTGCTTTGCCGAGCACTGCAGCCCACAAAGGGCTCCCGAGCACAGGGGCATCGCCGTGGCACGTGGGGACTCAGAATTTTCATCTGCACACAGGGGAGCTCCGGGCCAACTGGCCAGGGTGGCAGACTGAACCCCCACTGGCACTTACAGGAACTGCTCCACTACGTCCCTGAGGACAGGTGCCCCGCACAGCACTGAGCACACACTGACCAGTCCCGACACTCAGATCAGACAGCCCTGAGGGTCGCTGATCAGGGCCACTAAGCCGGCCATGATCTGGCCTAACCACGCAACCTCTATCTGTCCCATGGGGCAGTGGCAAGAATCCCATGTTCAGAATCTAAAATTTAAAATGCCTTACATTTAAATTAAAATCACAAGTAGCCCATTTCCTTTCTGCTCGCAACAAAGTGAAGCTACATTCTTAAAGAACACGACTTTTAATCCTGGGGAGAGGGGAGTCCCAGCAGTGCTCAGCGACTACTTCTGGCTCAGAGCTTGGAAATCAAGCCCAGAAGTACTGTGGATCGGTGCCCAGCCCTGAACCACACTCCATCCACTGCCAGCTTCTAGGCTGCATTAAAAGCTGTAGGACAAGGACCCTGGGGGACAGGACCCATCTCTCTTTTCGTCCCAGGTTCCGTGCAGCTGCCTCTCTCCTGTGGGGCAGGGCTGGCACTGTCAGGCCCACAGGGCTGAGGTAACACAGGAGCTCGGGTCAAGAGATAGGGCGCAATCTTCAGAAACAGCCGCCTGCCCATCCACAGCCTGGAGGTGGCGTTGGTCAGTACCTGCCAGGGGGGGCCCGGCCCTCCTCTCTTCCTCCACAAGGGCCGGTGCTGGCCTTGGGGGACTGGTGCCCCTACAGCTGTCGGCAGCCTCCCATAGTGCGTGGTAGCTGGTGACCTCTGCTGCTCCTTCTGAGACCATGGCCTCTCGGAACGGGTTCATGGGCAGCACGAGAGTCATGGCTGGGTGCCTCGGGCCTGCAAGAGAGAAACGGGCTCTGAGCTGCCAGCAGAGCTGGGGGACGCTGGGACTCGGGCCTCCCTGCGCCTCGAAGCACTTTAAGGCGCTTCAAAGGAAGCCTCATGTGCTCGGCAGCGGTCATGAGCTCAGCCCCGTGCACACAGAGCTGCTTCCCAAGGCTGATCTTCCCAACTCCATTTCTTATTGTTCTCCTGCTTCTCCCCTCAGCCGCCCACACAGTGGCAGCTCTGCCTCCCAGACACACTTTCTCCCAACCTGCCGGCAACCAAGAACCACTGGCGGAGAGGGGAGGGGGGGGGGGGGGCGGGGAGGGCCCAGCCCTGCGCTTCCCATCTATTAATAAGGCGAAATCGATTTCCAGGCCCTCCTCCAGTTTTTGATGAAATCTGCTTGTCAGTCTCGAGGAAGGGGGTGGGGAGAGGCAGAGCCCCCCATGACTCCAGGCTCTAGGGTTCCTTGCTGCTGCTCCCTCCACCCCCACCCCCACCCTGCCTCCCCACCACAGCTGCTCCTCCACTTCCATCTCCCAGAACTGAGCAGACAGACACGCTGGGCTGTGCTTCCCACCAGCCCTGGTCGGCCGGAACTGGATCTGCCTCCAGTCAAAACACAGGAGCTGAAGACAGAGAGTTGGCGCGGGATTCCGGCCGGGAGCTCAGCCCTGGAGCCAAGCACAGCATGGCAGAGCCAGCGGAATATTAAACAGGAGTGGGCCTCCCGGCCAGCACAGCCCAGCCCAGACAGGCAGGACTCCCAGGGGCTGCCCACAGCTGCCCCCTCCTCCCGCTGCAGGACCTGATGGGCGCTGGGGCTCAGGGAGGGCAGGAGGAGATGGTCTGGGGTCTGAAAGCCAGGGAGGGTGGGAAGTCAGTGGCATGGGGTCCCCTGTCCCGAGATTCAACCGCCTTCGCCACCCTCACTGCAGCCCCAAGCAACAAGGTCTTTTCCCTCTCAAACAGACATCCACTCCTGGACCTCATTTTCTGTCCATGTGTGCCAGGGGTGGGGTAGAGGTGAGGCCACTGGCACTGCCAAGCTATGCCTAGGACCACTTCAATCATGGAGGAAGCCAAGGCCAGGTGACAAGGCCACTCAATGGCACATCTGGCTCACTGCCCAGGGCTCCTCCTTCCCCCAGAGGGGTCCCAACTCCCTGACTTCTGTCCCAGAGAGTACATGGGGGCCCTCAGCAGCTGGATTCAGGGCCCAGTGGAGTTGGGCATCCTACTCCAAGGGGAGTGCAGGAGAAATAACCAGAAAATGCTCCTTCATCCCAGAGCACTCCTGGCCAGGGAGTCTGTGCCTTGAATCCTGGGCTGAGACCTGTAGACGGCGTGGGTTAATCTGCCAGAGCCAACCTGACCCAACCTCTGTATGGAGATGTCCACCAGGAGGCCAGGGCCGTAGTACAGTGGAGAGGGCCTTTGCCTTGTACACAGCCAACCCAGGTTCTCTCCCTGGTTCTCATGGTCCCCTGAGCACTGCCAGGAGTAACTCCTAAGTGCAGAGCCAGGAGTAACCCCTGATCACTGCTGGGGGGGGGGGGGGGCAAAGCAGAGAAGACAGTTCACAGCTGGACACAGGGAGCTTTTTCTGGGCAGGACACTTTCTGGCTTGAAATCTACACTCGCTTTAGGGTTCTGGAAATAAGAGCGGAGCTTTTTTAAAAAAAAAATTTCCTTTCCTCTGACGAATTTCATTCCATATAAACTAGACCCGCTGCCAAGTCCCCGCCCTTTAGGAAAGTCCAGACTTTGTGCTGTCCCCTCTGACCGGCAACCCCAGCCCCAGCTACACTGACCTGTACTTCACAGCACTCTCCGAGTCCTGCGCTGATTTGTGCAAGCGTTTGTTTACAGTTCATGGTGGTAGCTTTTTATTATTAATATCATGGAGGATGTCAGTGTTTCTCACTGAGCGCGTCACTGCCAGCATGTGAAATTCTATCCTTATGCACTGAAACTTGAAACATGGTCTAATGGTTTTTTATCCTGGCTTGCTCTTTCCTTTATGAGATCTCATTCCAGTCAAGTTTTCTCTGCTGAAGCGAAAACGTGCAGACACAGAAATTCTAAGCTGGATGTCCACAAAATGACTTCTGGGAGTCTGAGCCAAGCAAAATGGGCTGGGAAGATATTTTGCAAGTGACACTCCTGGTGTGCCACGAGGCAAGGTGATGGCACAGGCAGGGGAAGCAGGAGGGGCCTCTTGGTCGATGCCCGCTGCAGTGTGAAATGCCTGGTCCGCTAGGTGACACTAGGCAGCAACTCTGCTACGGGACGGAGACGTTTAAATCCACAAATTCATGTGCTGTTGATATCAGCCATGGAGGGACCTGAGGGCCAGCACGGGCGTTAGGACACTTCCCTTGTGCTCAGCACCACCAGGATGCTGCCCACCGCAGTGCAGCGTCTGCCAAGGAGCGAGAGGTAAGAGAGCTCCACAAAGATGTACATGTATAATAAAACCAGTCAGCTGGCGGGTATCATCGGGGGCAGGGGGTCCAAAAGCACTCTCTGAGGGGGTCTCTGCACCTGGGCTCAAAGGTAGACAAGTCATAGCCTTTCATATCTGTTTGGTCAGCCCAGCAGACAGGATGGGACAACAGTCTCCCCAGAAAGCTAGGGAACACAGCCAGCCCGTCCCCAGCACACACGGGACAGGGACCTGGCTTTCCTGGGGCCACCAGCCCACTCCTGCCCACCTCCCCTCCATGGCCAAGAATCAACATCCTTCGGTTAGTTTCCTGACAGGGCTGGGAGCAGGTGGCTGGCCGGGATGCCAAGGCACCTTGGAGGCTGCCACCTCAGCTCCTGCTGGCCACTCCCACCTATGTCCTGGCACTGTCCCCCAGTTGGACCTCAGTGGTAACTGTGGCCAGTATTGACCTTCAACCCTGATCATCAGAGGCCTCGGGATACTGCTTCGCTCAGCTCCTACAAGGTCCAGGTGGGCTGGGCCGCAGCGGTTCAGGGTGGTCCAGTGGCCCAGGCCTGAGCCAGGTGGCCCAGCGGGAGGTCTGGAGAACTGATGGGCTAAGCCCAGGGCCCCGGCCCAGCCCTGCACCCCGGGTAGTCCCGGCACACCAAGTGTCCTGAACAAAGACTCTGGGGCTCTGCGCGGTATCGGAGCTGTTATTATTCTCCCTTTCTCTTTATTTTAAACCGAGTTGCCTTCCACGGGAAACGCACCCCAAAGGTAGGATTCCAAGGGCCTGAGTCACGCACAAACCCGCCTCCCGCACCCCGGACCCTCCCCACCCCGCCAGACTGGGCCGGGGGCCAGGAGCCCGCGCGCCCGGAGAGGTGAGCTGAGGACAGAGGCGCGGGGGGTCGGCCCCGGGACCCCCGCGCGGCGCGGCGCGGCGCGGCGCGACGCGGCTGCAGGAGGCTCTTACCACCGGGTCGGCGGAGGCGGCGGCCGCGGGTCCCTCGGGCTCGGCGCCGGCGCGGCCGCCGCTCCGAGGGCCGCAGACGGTCACAGGCGGCGGCCGGCGTCGCCGTGGGCCATTCCCCGCGGGCTGCCGAGGCGCGGCTGGCGCTGCAGGACGCCCCCGGGTCGGCGCGCCAACGTGCGAGCGCGCCGCTCCCGCCGCCCGCGCCTCCCCGCCCCTGCCCGCCCTGCGCGCCCCGCGCCCGCCCCTGCCCGTCCCGCGCCCCGCGCCCGCCCCGCGCCCCGCGCCCCGCGCCCGCCCCTGCCCTTCCCGCGCCCCGCGCCCGCCCCGCGCCCGCCCCTGCTCCACCCGCGCCCCCCCGCCCGCTCCGCGCCCGCCCCTGCCCGCCCCGCGCCCCGAGCCCGCCCCTGCCCGCCCCGCGCCCCGCGCCCCGCGCCCCGAGCCCGCCCCTGCCCGTCCCGCGCCCGCCCCTGCCCGCCCCGCGCCCCGCGCGCGCCCCGCCCGCACCCCAGCCCTGCCGCCGCGCGCGCCCGCCGAGAGGAGCGGGAAGGAGCTGCCTCTTCCCACCCTTTGCAGCGGGACTTTCTTCTCTCTGCCACGGAGGGCGGAGATGAGAAACAGGCGGCCGCCGGCCCGCGCCCGCCCGCTCCGGCCCCCGCCGCCCCTGCTGGCCCCCGGGACCCGGCTCAGCCTTGCAGGGCTCGGTGGGGAGGGGAGGAAACGCGGCCCGAGGGAGTTTGGATCCGGGAAGGTGTTTCAAGCCCCCCCCCCCAACACACACACTGCATAATTCGCCGAGTAACGATGCCCCCATCCTTGGCCCCGAGGGGCTTGGGTTCCTGGCTGGTGTCTGGGCAGCCCTGGCGGGACGGATCATTTCAGGCTCGCAAGGCAGCGAGACCCAATAAAACCCTGCCAGGCACCTGCACGGCGGCGTGCGGAGACTGAAATGTTTGTTGGCTTGGGAGGTTGCCAGATGTGCTGGGTGCTCCCCCGCTAACCTCACCCATCCCGGAACCCGGGGGGCACACACGGGCAGGCAGGCAGCGAAGGAGCAAGGAGGGCGCAGCAGTCCGGATTAGCATCTGCAAATTGAACTCTATCCAATTTGCATGTTTATTTCTTAGAATTGTAATTAAATTTGTGTAATAAATGTTTTCCATTTCATTTGTACACTTGAATTTTGGGTGACTGACATGCAGTTAAGTGAATTTATTCTTTAAAAAAAAAGCAAATGTAGCTTATTCAATAAAGCAGCGAACAAATATTAAACATGATCAGAACTAATCTGCTTTGAAGGTATTTCTGCTGACCTCTGTGCAAGAAACACTCTGAGGTGTGAGAGCAGGCAGCCATGCTGGAAGCAGGCGAACAGACAGACTGCCTGGAGCATTATGTCATTTTTTCACCAAAACGCATTTCAGAGGTGCTGCCTAAAATTTGGCATCCATCTTGCCTTTATTCAGAACCCCATTAACTCACACTGCCTGGGGCACAACATATAGGCCATTGTGATGATAATATAATGATTGTAAAGAGGCCTGTTTGCGACATCCATGGGGACTGCCTGCCCAGGTCATGAGTACAATAAAATTTTCATTTGCCTGGGGAAGAGGGAAGAGCCAGGCAAGGCCCAGGCTGTGGGAGTGGGGCAGGGACCTGGAAAGCCCCCACAGCGGCTGACGTAAACAGGAGCCAACACAGGCTGGGAGGCTGGGAGGCATGGCTATTCCTGGTTTCTATCTCCCTATGTTAAAGTTTGCCCGCTCCGGCAAATCGATGATTAACGGGAAGTCAAGTGATCAAATGGTTCAAGTTGGATGACACTGAAGGGGCCACAGGGAAATGTATGTGCATGTACTCTGCCATGTCTAATGCGTGAGCCCAAGAGGAACAAATTAAGAATGAAGTTGAGAAATAGCAGGGATGAGGCCTGGGGGAGGGTTGCATTGAAGGTCTGGTACTGAGGAAGAAGCCTTGGAGAGGTGCTCGTGCCCTGAGGATGGGTAGGGGGTGTAGCCCACAAGTCAGGAGAAGTGACATCAAGCAGCTGTCAGCAACCCCACGGCCCGACTCCGTGGAGCCCCCCAGCTGTCCCTAACCTGCTCTGCAGCTCCTCGGGGTGGTCTGTGGCACCCCCCACCCCCCAGCTCTTGGCTCTCTTCGTCTCAGGCCTCATGTCCCTGAGAATGCAATCTCGTGTGGGTCCCAGGATTCAAGGTCTCCCAGCTGCAAACAGGCCCAGACCTCCAGGGAGTGGGAGACTGAAGGTGCAGAGGGGCGAGGGCCCAGGAGAACGAAACCCTGCGTGGACAGGGAGATGCTGGAGCCTACACCTGGGCTTCGAAGCAGCAGGGACAGAGACAGTGTCTCCGAGAGGCCCAGAGTCCCTCCCAGGGAGGACACAGGCTGAACTGCTTGGTGCTGTGGCCACGTCTCCATTAACAGAGATCCACCCTCCAGACTCATGTCACCAGCCCCTCTGTCCTCTGAAAGGGGCTTCTCCAGGGAAGCCCCGGCACCCCCACTGCTGCGCAGTGCTCCCCCTCCTGGGATGAGAAGTCCTTGGGAAGCGCAAGGCCTCCTTCAGGTCGTCCTCTTCTCTCTGAGGCTCGCTGCAGCTGGGGGGCCTGTGTGGGGCTGACCGTAGAATCCTGAGTTCACAGCTCATCTGCCCACTGCACAGTTCCTGCCCTTCTCTGCCTTCTCTGCCCTTCCCTGCCCCTCCCTGCCCCTCCCTGCCCCTCCCTGCCCCTCCCTGCCCCCCCTGCCCCTCCCTGCCCCTTCCTGCTCCCAGGTGGGACGTTCCCCCCATCCCACCCACATTCTTAGCTGTTACAGTTCTCTCTCCTGACCACTGACCCCCCACACCCGAGTTCCTCTCTGGGTCCCTGACAAGGTCCAGCAGATACCCTGGCTGGTTATTCAGTCCCACCTTAGCTCCCCTCAGAATCGCTGCCCAGACACAGCAGACCCCACTCATGGATTTCCAGGCTTTACCTGCCCCTGTCCGTGCCATGCACATCAGGAAGCTGGACCTTGAACTTGCGTTAGGTCGGACCCTTTTGTCTTCTCTTTGGCTTCTACCCCGGTCCCAGCCACCATCCCCACAATCTGTGAGCCCCGACTCAGCCTAGTGCTCAGCCTCCACCCTGAGGCCACAGTGCACATGTCCATGGAGGCTGGGTCTGGTACATGTTGCAGCCTTGGCTCCCACCATAAATCACCCAAACCGTGGCTGAAGCCAGGCAGCTTGGAGCTGGAACTGCACTGCACTTTGGGCCCAGTATTGCCAACAGAAATCTAATGGTCAGTAATTTTCTAGGCTTGGGGGACCCCTAGTCATGCCTCTTTCAGGAGAGGATTGGGGCCCACGGTCACCTGGCCTGTGTGTCCATCTCTAGCATGTTTACCTCAGTACCTGAGACTCCCTAGCAGTGCTCAGGGTTCCTCCCAGCGATTCTAGTCCAATCAGGCTGGTGGGGTCACAAGAGGCTCCCAGGATGCTCCCGAGCCCCCCTGACACGCACAAGCAGAGCTCTGGAAACCACACGCCTGGGACTGAACAGGGTCCGCTGCATGCAAGGTGAGCACCTCCCTATGGACTCTCTTCTGGCCCCTGACTTTAGCATTTGGGGGAACTTGGGACCACACCCGACTGTGCTCATGGCTTACTCCTGGGTTTGTGCTCAGGGGGTTCCATGTGGAGCCAGCGACTGAACCAACATGTGGGACAAGCACCTGACATAACCCCAGTGGCCTGCAGGCAAAGGAGTTCAGGCACATCTTCCCAACAGACCTGAAACACCTTCCTTTCCGCCAGAAGCAGGCAAACGATGTGGGGGCGGGAGGGAGAGACCCACACAGACATCACCTGAGCAGGAAATTGCGCCTCTGCTCACAGCTCCAAGCTGACAGATTAATTGTTTAATGGAGGACTAACAAGGAGCCTTTCGCAGTGACTGCACACGCTGGGGACAGGAAGGTGCCTGCGCTCTGCCCTTTGCCTGCCAAGAGAGAGGTAACACCTCAGGTTACACCTGTTTCCCACCAGCCACCAGCCACCACACTCCAGACTCCCACACTGACCCCCCAGACACTCCACACTGACCCCAGACACTCCACAATGACGCCAGACATGCCACACTGACCCCAGTCACGCCACACTGACCTCTCAGACACCCCACAATGACCTCATAGATACTCCACACTGACCCAGACACTCCACACTGACCCCATACATGCCACACTGACCCCACACACGCCACACTGACCCCATACATGCTACACTGACCCCCATAATGCCACACTGACCCCCATAACGCCACACTGACCCCCAGACACCCCACAATGACCCCATAGATACTCCACACTGACCCCAGACACTCCACAGTGATGCCAGACACGCCACACTGACCCCAGACACGCCACACTGACCCCAGACTCTCCACACTGACCCCAGACATGCCACAGTGACCCCTCAGACACCCCACAATGACCCCCAGACACTCCACACTGACCCCAGACATGCTATACTGATCCCAGACATGCCACACTGACCCCAGACACACCACACTGACCCCCCAGACATTCAAAACTGATCCCAGACATGCCACACTGACCCCCCAGACACTCGAAACTGATCCCAGACATGCCACACTGACCCTAGAAATGCCACACTGACCCCAGGCACTCCAAACTGACCCCAGACATGCCACACTGACCCCAAACACACCACACTGACCCCAAACACTCCACACACTCCACACTGACCCCAGACACTCCACAGTGACCCCAGACTCCCCACACTGACCCCAGACTCCCCACACTGACCCCAGACTCCCCACACTGACCCCAGACTCTCCACACTGACCCCAGACATGCCACACTGACCCCAGACACGCCACACTGACCCCAGACACGCCACACTGACCCCAGACATGCCACACTGACCCCAGACACGCCACACTGACCCCAGACACGCCACACTGACCCCAGACATGCCACACTGACTCCATCTCTCACTGCTGCTATTCCCGTGCTCCTGGTCTCCTGTATATCAGGCCTTGTTTGAGTCCCAGCCCCTCATTTGCCCCTCGGTCTGTGTTCTTGGACCACTGAAGCTTGGCTTGGGGACCAACGTGTCACAGCGCAGGCTGGCCGGCCTTGGGGCCTCCATTCAGGGCTTC